CTGAGGGCTGGTGGCAACCTTCAGTGTGGGGGTTGTTAGGTGCTTGTGTTAGTCTGGGTGGACTAGAGAAATAAATCCAGGGAGACTCATATGTGTATAAGAAAGAGCTTATATAAAAGAGCAATTTATATATTGAGAAAACATCCCAGCCCAGTCCAGAATCAAATCCCTAAGTACGATATTGTCCCACATGTCCAATACCAGTCTATATGTTCCTCTTCAAACTCATGCAACACATGCAAGGGCACTGAATGCAGGAAGATCACAGGCCAGTGGCTGGGTAGTCTTATGGATCCAGTGGCGATGGAAGCATCTCAGTGCTGGCATGGGTCTCCATGTGGCTCCTCCAGCTCCAGGGCTCTGGCTCCATCTCCATGTCAACAGGAATGTCTCGCAGGGAGAGAGTGTATCTGGCCTCCAGCGAGCTATTTATCTCCTTCCTTCCTGCCTCCAAAAGAGGTCATCAAGCTGAAACTTGATTGACAGGTTAAACTCCACCCCTTCACTCTTAATAGTCTCATATTGACACCAGATGATGTAATGGCTACAGTGCTCTTGAGCCATTTCCAACTCAGAATGATCCATGTATAACTGAATGAAACGTTGCCCGGTCCAGTGCCATCCTCACAATCATCTTTATGTGTGTCCAATGTGGGAGCCACTGGGCCAGCCCATCTCAGTGAGCATCTGCTCTCTTTTGAAGCTGGCCTTCTACTTTCCGGACACGATGTCCTCCAGGGCCTGGTCCCTTATGACAATATGTCCCAGGTATGGGAGACAGTGTCTCCCCCGCCATCCTCACCCCCAAGGGGCATTCGGGTTGCACTTCTTCCAAGACAGATCTGTTCGTTCGTTTGGAAGCCCGTGGCATATTTTTGCCAACACCGTAACTCAAAGGTATCGATTCTTCTTCGGCCTGCCTTCTTCACTGTCCAGCTCTCCCATGCATAGGAGGCCATTGAACTTACCGCCAAAGATTTTTTTAAATTACAGCCGTAATTCATACTGTAATTCAGTATGAATCTCACGTCAACAAGTCCTCAAAAATGGACCAAATAAACATTCACTAGCCAAGCCAG